AAAGAAATGAACCTTAGTAACCAGCTAGACATACCTGGATTAATCAGAAAGGTAACACAGGAGTTGGCTGAAGTTCAGGAAGTAGCAGAGTTGTGCATAAAGCCTATTAGTGGGAGCCATTAATCTGCTTCTCTGAGAGACACGGGCCCATGTGTGTCAGTTGACAGTAAAAAATCTTTACATGCAGGATTTACCAATATTTGTTTTTGATCCCTATTAACACAGATAATGTAGATGGTATGTAGATGTGAAGAGAGACAGAAAAAGTCCTGGTAACCACCTTTGACCCCTCTACTCACACCTCTATCCTATCCTCTAACTCAGAGACATTGATTTATTCATTTTATTAATCTTAGGAAATACTTACAGTGTGGAGAGCCACATTCCTGGCTTTTAAACTTGATTTCAAATATTAATAACTATGAAAAAATAAATTAAACCATTACTGTTCCATTTTCTGAATTTCATCTTGAGTTGTATTTATTTTAATGGAAGAGGTGGAAACGTTCCCAGATTTCAGAAATCTGGTCACCTTAGATTATCTCTCCTTAGTAGTGTTGAGGTCTTTACTTAAGCTTTGCAGCATTTCTAAACTTGCTGCTTGCAGTGTTTTTCCTTTGCATTTGTTTGTTAGCATCATTTATGTCTTTGCAGCAGGTTTTCCCCCCTTTGCTGCTCTCTTTTTCTGTGAATGCATCCTTTTGTTTTGTGTGTTTTTCTCATTTTTGTGTTTGCATTCTCGGCTATGTGTTTGGTAGTCAAAGTTTTGAGTTTGTGTTTTTAGGACTTTTTCCATTTTTTTCTAATAGCTAAAGTGTACCTATGACCCCTACAGACCCCTCCTATTATTCTAAGTAGGAGAACTTGTACACTCGTTGGCTGACTAAATACCTTTAGGCCCCACTGTATTGCACAGCATGGTACACTTATTCCAGGTGTGTTAGCTATTTTATGTTTAGATACTTTTCTTTGCTTAATTAGTTCTCAAATTATATTTTATTGACAAAGAAATTACAATAAAACTAGTTGATACAATCAATGGTTCCAATTCACTAAAAGTGCAGAAAACTAGAGCACCTGTTTCAGTTGTTGATGCCTTTATCATCATGCCTTTTTGCTATGTTTCTGCTTGGCATGTGTGTCTCTTTTTTAATCTTCTTTATGTTACTTGAACTCCAATCAGTAAAGGCAGATGGCCACTCTATCCTAAGCCTGGAGGTTATTCCTTGTTTAAAAGAAGATAATTGTTTCCACTGAATCCACATGCCTTCTAACCATGGGAACTTGTAGCAATAAGTGATACGTGAAACATGAAGAACTCTTTAACACAACACCAAACTGTGATGCAAATTTCAAAGTTCTTACCTGGTGTAACAGTAATTTATTTTGCTGCATGGAAACAAAAAAATGAATATTCGTTTAAAGTGTTTTTAAAGTTAAATTTACTCTGTAAACTCCAATTGATTCCTTTTGGTGGGAATCAGTGTCAGTTTACAGAGTATTTGCTTTCCTTCAAAAAGGAAAGCGAATTGGTTATGGGTCAACAAAAAGAGATTCTTCTTTTCTATTAATGGTGGAAGATATTATTTTATCATGCATGATCTGTAACTGGTACAAATCAAATATGGATTTATTCCTAGATTCCTGATCTTTGCTCAATATGAAAGATATATTCTACAGCTAAAGTCCATTCTGAGCATCCATGTGTTTATTCCCTTCCCAGTGGGTTGGTTCCACAGAGAGCTGTCCTCAATCTGTAACTGAATTAAACCCTCATCCAGAAGGATTTACTCTTCATAATTGAATTTACCCAATATGTGGTTTGGGCTGCTTCCCTGACTTCACTTTCTGTCTGCTACAGGTCAAACTCTTTTGCATTAGCTGCAATTTGTTGACAGGAAATAAATAAAAGAAATTAAAATCCCAACATTTCTGTATTTCTATATTCTTTTTTCAGTTAAATATGTTCACCTGATGTCCACTTAGGTTTTACTAACAATTAACTAATTTTTCAGTCCAGTTTACTTCTGATTGTCAATTTGCAGGGTGATCAGAAAATTATAGAAAATAATGATAAACATAGACACAAAACAACAGTGTGCATAAACAACCTACTAACTGCAATAACATGAGCATGAAAAAGCAAAGGAGAGATCATTTTTTTGTGACTAAATCTGTATGAGACAAGTACCCTATTTTGCAATACTTTTTTTTAGCTTAAAACTCTTGGCACAAGATGTAAGTTTGAACATTTTTTACAATGTTTTTATGTAAATAACATAGCAGCAAAGTTTCTTTCAAAGAATGAAATGGTGTCTAGAGGCTTTTCTTCCATCTAAAATTGCCAAGCATCTCTGTTAAGAAATGTTCCTTGCTGCATGCTATCTTTATGAGATTTTCTTGCTGACCCTCTGATTTAAGCTTTCTGAGAGCCTCCAGGGTGTCAAGCTGTCTGGTTGAAAAGTGGAAAGTTGGAGAAAGAGAGATTGTGCTTTATTCTCCTCGGGTAAAAGAAGTCCTTCAATGGTATTTGGATCAGCAAGCTTTGTCTAACTCCAACACCGTTGCGGAAGCCAAAAACAGTCCAAACCAGGATTACCAATATCTCTTTAGTCTTTAATTAGCCTTTATCAGAACTGTCACATAGCAACAGAAAAATTACATATTTCAGCTCCATGACAAAGAAGCCTTTCAGTTTTCTTTAAATGCATGAAAATACTTATTTTGTTCTGTCTTAAGAAACACTGAAGAGGTGGACAACTTTTCTGGACAACTTGTTTCTTTCATTTTATCTACACATTCAGGAGAAAAAAAACAAGAAGTTGGTGAGTTAAATAGAAAGCACAACCTCTGAAAGACATTTTTTTTTATAAATTTGTTAAGCATTTCCAGCAGAATGGTGTGGGATGTGTCTAAGGAGTTACGTAGATGAATCCATCCATCCATCCATCCATCCATCCATCCATCCATCCATCCATCCATCCATCCATCCATCCATCCATCCATCCATCCATCCATCCATCCATCCATCCATCCATCCATCCATCCATTTCTGTACTGATCTTACCATAAGGGAAAATCCACGTCCAACAGCCTTTCAAAAAAAAAATTCTGCTATTATTTTTAAGAAGGATTTAAGGGGATTTCCAGTTCAAGAAATTAAAAGAAAGGAAGGAATTTTAAAAGTTCAAAAGAATGATCTGTAATGAAGCAAGGTTTCTGAAGGATAGAAGGTGAGTTCAAAGATCTTTGTGCAGGTGGAGTGAAAATCTTTGAAATAGCGTTAAAAAAGAAGATTAGGGCTTCTATGGAAGTGGCCACTTAGTTTGATGAATAAATAAATACATACAGAAATAATGAAATGTATATGTGTATTAATTTATCAAAAAACACTTATTATTCAATAATATAGTTTAAAAGGTATATTTTGTAATTTAATAGCAATTTAATTTGACTTAACTTAAAGACACATTAAATTAAATTGTGTACCATTTATTTGTTAAATACTTTATTCATAATGTATTTAACAAATAAATGGTACACAAAAACATTTGTCATTTTTAATGGGTAACTGATTTATTTCATTTTGAATTAAATTATTTTCCTGTTTGATTTATTTATTTATTTCATTACACTTATTTAATTCTATATTAAATCATTTAGTTGTGTACCTCCATATTTGCATGCTGCTAAGTATTCTACTTAAATGTGTTGCTTTTGCTTATAGATGTATTGAGTAAGCATTTCTGGATCTTTGAAAGTTCGCATTTTTTTCACAGTTCAAAATACCTTATAATGTGTTTTATTAGGATTTTAGGAGATAGATTGCCACAATAGAGGCAAAGTTGATTAGTGGACGGAGCATTTATCTTTAAAAAATAGTGGTAAGCATTTGTATTAAGCTTCTTTAACGCGGATATAAAAAAAATTCATGTCAGAGAAACATTCCTTCCCAAATAATCATTTAATGAATCAATGCACGATTAATCAAAGCTTAAGTTCAGATGTTCTGCTAAGGCCTCTGATGATCAACTACAAACAAAAACATGGCATTTGATCAGGGAGGCTGTAAAGAGGCACATACTGTCAGGTAGCGCAATCCGTTGTTTGATTAGCTCTCTGCTACTCATCTGGCTTTATTTCATAGCAGCACAAAAATAAATTGTTTAACGAATACCAAATGAGGCCTCCTTAATGTTAGACATACTAAATATGGAGAAGAAGGTCAGAAAAGAGCAAAATGGGCTTTTTGGCCTACATATAAAATTACTGTGTGGTTGTTCATTAAAACTGCACATTTTATCATCTGCATTGTAAAAGTAAACAGCATCATGCTTGTGGGTTGCTTCCTACTCCGAAAGGATGATGTTGATGTTTATGAAGATTAGGTCTAAGTTCCATCTTTGGGAGAAAGTTATCTTCTTCACTATGAGTTTTTTTTTAAACATATTTCATTTAAGTGACTAAGAACTTCTGGTCCAACATAGAACTTAAATAGAACTTAAAATTGCAATGGATTATGAATAGAAGTTGAAAGCTGATAGTGAATTGTGGTCTTTACCCCAATACACCACTAACTCAGCACTACAGTAATCTGTGTTGTAACATAGCAACGTACACGTGTTAATATTAACTTCTTAAGAGTCATATCCCAAACTTTTCCTTCAATTAAACTTTTGGATCAAGAAAAGCATTTTTGAAGTAATACTTTACTTCTAAATTTAGCAATGCACTTCATTTAAAAACCTAAATGAATCTGTATATGAAATGTTTTGAGAAAGATGAATATCTTTGTTGATTTCATTATGAGGGTTTATAGTTTGAATGGCATAGGGTGACATTATTCACCCCTTGCTAGCCTAACATCTAATTAACTGACATCACAAAGTATATATATGTTTATTACAGGAAAAACACCTTCTGATCTGCAGTGTTTGGAAAAGGCAAACCTATTCAAATAAGAAAACACTGTTGATAAAAATAGGTTAAATGAGTCATAATATTTTGCAGAAAAAAGTTTATTCTTCCTTCTTCTTAATACTCTTCGTCGTCTTCCTACTACATTGATGCATTTCTAAGCTCCTCTAAACGACTGCCTCTGTGGTTGGTAACCACTCAGAAAGCATTTTCCCATCAACGGTTCCGCAGTGCTGTCATGGACTGGCGACCTGTCCAGGGTGTATCCTGCCTCTCGCCCGTAGATAGATGCAGATAGGCACCAGCACCCCCCACGATCCTGCTTGGGATAAGCGTGACGGAAAATGGATGGATGGTTCCGCATTCCTTCACAAATAATGTACAACAACTAATTATTTCCATGTTTTCTAAAGAGCCAAATGTACAGGAGGGAACTTTAAAATGCTTTCTTACCGTTGAAGTTTTCACAATTTGTCATATTGGTCACACACAGCATAATTAGAATTTATAATAAAAAAGCAAGGGAAAGTTGTGCATACTAAGTGCGCAGACTCTGGTATGTGTTCTTTTTTTTAATAGTTTGCAAATATGCATTTGAAAAAGGACTTAAATTCTACATGTAAATGTAATTAACTGAGGTCTTTGTGTTTGTAAAAGAACCAAATGTGTCAAATGTTCAGAAGGTATTAATGTTGTAGATTTAGTAAAAAAAACAAACAAAAAAAACTATTTATAACTTATCTTTAGAAAACCTAAATGTATAGAGATGTGCAAGCTTATCCACAATTTTCTGCAATTAAGCCACAGAAACGACTGGGTGCAAATAGTGCCTGAACAAGTTGTGAGATATTGCTTCCATATGCATTTGAATTACCTTTTGGGAGAAAAAAAAACAACACCCTAAAACCATGGCATTATAAAGTAAGTGGTAAAACATAAAACAAGAAGAAAAAAAAGCCTACAACTGTTTTTTTTTTTAAAAAGGACAAATTTGTATTAGGAGTTGAAGAAAACATTTTGCTCGTAGCATTCCATTTTCTTAAAAAAAAAAGACATGGAAGTTTGTCCTCCAGTACATTCCTTATCTTAACCTCCACAAGGAGCACAGACCCGGGGAGTAAATGCTAGCTGGAGCAACACATTGACGACGGAGAAGGAAAGTCTCATACATACACATGGATCACATTAAAGGAGGTGTATGCACACCTGAAACGCACTCAAGCATCTCAAGAGACAAACAAACCAGCAAAGGAACTTCAAATGTAATCACACAACAAGAACAAGCACACAGTGCTCGGACATCATTCGAAAATTTGTTGAATCATTCATGAGCAGCTTTCATGGGCTGTGGTCCTCTTCACTTATTGCAGTGAAACCTAAAACATTCAGATGGAGTGTAGGAAGTGATGAACGCGCGAGTGGGAGCAAGCAGCCTTAAGATAATGCACTTGGACAGTTCAGGTCAAGGATTTAATTTAGTCTAGGAAGCTGTGCTTTCCTTTTATCTTGAGGATTAAGCAAAGCTGGAGAGCTTTGACCTCAGAGAAAAACTGTTTCTTTTCAGGTAAGTCTAACACATGTAATGTCTAAGTGATGTTTAGCAAAAACAACAAAAAATGGTCTGAGCTTATTTCTTCTTGCTTCTGAAGCTCATTTCACCCAACCTAGAAGGTCATATATAAAGGAACAACCTCTTCAAATCTAAAGTTGATCTTTCAGATTATTTGTTACTATAAAACAACGGAGAGCATCATATAATGATCAGATACAAGTCCACTGTATATGTATGAAAATCACTTTGGCAATGTACTTCACTTTTACGACTCCCCAGCACTGTTAATTATCACATCAGCTGAGCGATTCTCCCACACACTACACCACAGTTGCTGCTTGTACACGATACAAGATGAACGCAGAGTTGGTTTGGGCCAGCTCAGTCTCTGCGGTCCTGTAGATGAGTAAACTAACACATTAACCAGCAGGTTGAGTTTTGACTGAGCTTTCTATTCAGTGGTGAAGCCCTGGTCTTCCTCTGGATCACTACAGTCCATCCTTGGACCCAGTCTGCTGTCCCGCTCTGGATGTGCGAAGGCTGCGGTGTTCCCTCCAGCACTGCGGTGACACTGTGAGAGCCGAAGCCATTGGAGTTGTGACTGTGAGGTCGCGATGGTCACAAGCAGGACTCGCGGGAGCCAATGTTTGCGTGCAGAGACTTTTTCTTCTGCTCTTTGTGATTTCCATTGTGAAGAACAGAATACCTGAAAGAAGACACAGAGGCAGGGACAAAGAAAAATCACAAAATAGGTTAAAAACGACAAATATAGGTCTTTTAAAAAAAAAATAGTCCTGTTACATTTTCCATATTTTTATGGGACATTTCTTCAATGTTCAATAGAGAAAGAACGCATTTTAAATTATTTAAAAGAGCAGAGTACATGTAGAGGGCATTGAAAGATAGAAATGTCTGTATGGAGTTTCACCATGTAACAGTGTTCTGTGCTTTTTTATTCTTTGCCTGTCTTACTGTGTTACTGTATCTTTGACATTTGGCTAAAAATACATCATAGAATTCACGCTTTGTTAGGTTATATTATGTCTAGACAGAACTTCAGATCATCCTTTCAGCCTGTGATCTACACGTGCTCAGACGCTTGCTGATCTCCCATTAAAGGGTCCACATTGAATGAAGGGTTGAAGTTGACCAACCCATTTTACTGCTCCATTTCACCTTTGGAGGTGATCACAGATATGAAATGGCAAGACAAGATAGTGGAAAAAACTATAAGTGCATTACAAAACTGTTAAATGTTTGTTTATTTCAGTTTGTTTGCTTCACTATGCACAATAACACGTTCATGTACAATAATTATAATTTGGTACTGAGCAGCATTTTCAGTTGTAAATACTGTCAATTATATATGTGATCTTTAGCTTATTTAATTCTTATCCTTATTTTATTTTTTATTCTGTCTTATTATACTATATTTTGTTCTATTGTACTTAGTCTTATACTGTAAGCAGTATAGTATATATATATATATATAGTATATATATATATATATAGTATATATATATATAGGTTTATAAGTATATAGGTTTTAGGAGGATTTTTAAAGCTGGTGTGTTAAGAAATTCCTCTGATGTGCAGTAAAGTTCTCAAGCAGACACTCACTGACAGGCTCCTCAAGTGCAATCAGACACAGAAGATTATTGCTTAAGCAGCATGATCTTAAAAAGTGTATAACTAGAGTAAAAAAGTGTATATATTTTGGTAATAAATAGTGCAGAAGCACATCTTTAAGAGCATAACTACAGCAGTAAGAAAATTCTTCTGCAAAGTCAGTACATGAGAGGGCCAGAGAGTTTGAGTTCTCACCAGTGTTCCAGGATATGAATTTCAACTGTGGAAGCTCAAATGAGGAAATGTCTAATAGGACAGTTAAAAAGTCTTGCCTAATCTAGACTGTGATTTAGCATAAACAGATCTTACATCGGTATTCTTTAAGGCTTAAGAAAATTGTGGTCCAAAAAAATAAAAGTCATATAAGTTGTGGCGCAGTGGTAGAGTACACGACTCAAATATAGAGGCTTAGATCCTCTGAGCCACCATCACAGGGAGATATGTGCTGCTGTTTTCCTTTCTTTCCATTTATTTTATTTTAACTTAGCAAAAAAGGCCATTATGGCTACAACAATGAGAAAAAGGAACAACATAAGTTGTAGGTCTTGCTTTTCACTGAAAGAAGCCCTTTTAATTTGTCAGAACAATCCTACTCCATAAAACAAGTCTACTGCCTCATAATTTAAAACTGAATCTAAAAATGTAAAATGTATGCAAGTCCCTTTATTGTCCCACAATCGGGGAAATTCGCTCTTTGCATTTTGACCCACCCCCTTGGGGAGCAGTGGGCTGCCATTGTGTGGTGCCCGGGGAGCAATCAGGGGTTAAGGGTGTTGCTCAGGAACCCAGAGTGCAGGCTGTGGAGATTGAACCGGGTGCTTGCAACTTTCTCAAAGAACAAGAGCACTACTCTAACCCAATAGGCCAACACTTATAAAGTAAAATATAATAAAAAGTTTTTTGGTATCTGCAAAAAGATCTCACAGATCTGAAAACCCCTTATACATTTGTATAAGACATGTGCCTTACATTACATAGATATGCTTATATGTTAGCTTATATATACAACATCAATGGTGGAAATAGGGAACTAGATGTTCTCTTTATGTGTGTGTGTGTGTGTGTGTTTCACAAAGAGCTAGCCTCGGGCTAAATCCATTATGAGCTGTTTAGACAAACACCCTGACCAAAGACACTTCCTGCTGCCAAACTGGCCGTGAAATACACCATTCAGAAAGCCACCAACATTTAGAGCTTTGCTGGAAGAAACAGGCTTCAGATTCTCACCGAAGCAGAACACAAAATTGCTCCCACATTGCAGCATTAAACCATTTCTGAAAAACTTCAGCTAAGCTTTAGTTGGGATGCATGTCACCTGGCTGCCTTTAGTCTCACAATGCGAAATGTGGTTGCATTGTGGGACTATTGCTATAAAAGGATAATTTGTTTTATTAGTCAAATAACCATTGTCTTCACTGTGCTTAATGTGTAGTGCAATGTTGTTAACAACACTGCAGGGAGCTCAAGTGGTCCAATAAATGATGCAGTGATCTGTAAAGTTCTGTTAAAGCCAGTGAAATGGGGAAAAAAAGCACAGCTGACAGTAAATTCTGGATGAAATTTAGTCCTCTAGATACAACTCTAGACCCATTAAACCTTTAGAGGTTTCAGATAAAGTTAAGAAGCTGCTTGAGGGGAACAATAGGGGAAGGTGCTGGTTAACAGAGATACTGAAAGAGAAAGAACAATTGTTTGGGGAGTTTGATGAAAAACGAGGAACATCTAATGAGTCAAGATCATTACACTGTCAAAATCATGGCTACATGCTAAAGAAATAGTTCAGGCCAAAAGCACCAAAAAGATAAGTATGCATTATAAAAATGAGCTGTAAAAAATCTCCTTCATTTAAGGTATAGTGGAGGATGTTCTTTTTCCGGGTGGATCATTAAAATAAGTGGTCCTCCTAATTGTCAATCATTCTGGTGATATGTTTATGTAAGGCCGTCCTATGTGCTCATCCCTATTTTCACTTACTGGTGGTGGGTCTGATATAGTGGAAAACATTGCAAACCTTGCACAAGGAGAAATGGACTTGTGCATGCTCTCGCAGGTATTTAATAGGCTATCCCTCTTGGGACTGGGTACAGGGTTGTGCATGTGCATTTTTTTAAAGTGGAGCGGGTGGGTCTTTTCCAACCCAGTCTCATGGGAAAATGTACCCCCACTACGTTGGTCCACACTGCAAAACGTAGTGGAGGTACATTAATGGCCATTTTTTTGTGGTACTGTTACGTTTCTTCTGCCTATACGCTTTCTATTGTTTTACGTCCTAGTCACGTGACTTTCAAGATTCCAGCTGGGAGAAGAAAAAAATATATATAGATGGCCGACATTCGCTCATTTTTTGTGGAAAGATTAATAACTTGAATGTACATATTCACTTGCTTGTTCGTTTCTTGCAAAGATTTTTCAAGATAATGTGAAACTGTAACATTTTGGTATAAACATGGCTGAGATTTCTCTAACTTTTAGTGGGAAAATCAATAATTTCAATCAGTTTCTGCATTTAAATGGGTTTTGATCACATTTATAGCGAGAAGTGTAGGGTTTATTTACATAATATTTACTTAGTGAACATACATAATCACCCGCTTGCTAGTTTTTGCTACGTTTTTCGGATCTCGTCAGGATTATGTGAAATTGCAACGTTTAGGCTGCTACCCATCGCCTAGCATTTAGCTGCCGCCCCGATTCAACATTGAATTCTTTGTGATTTAACTCCATCTGACGGATCAAACCCTCGCCACTGCGTGCGTTGCGTCTGAGGTTGATTTTCAGATCAATGCATTACGTCGTGGCAAACGGGAGAAACTAATTAAACTAGTTAAAAAAAAGGATCATGGGTTAAGATCGGATGTGTTTTATTTGGAAATCTACCGGATCCTTTGTGCATTTCACTTCCTGTTTGGTGCGATCTCATTGATGGGTTTTGACCAGATTTTGACCAAAGAGGAACAAAAAAAAAAACAAAAAAACAATTTAAATACACAACCAGCATATCTGGAATCAATGACAGAGAGCATACATAATCACCCGCTTGCTAGTTTTTGCTACGGTTTTTCGGATCTCGTCAGGATTATGTGAAATTGCAACGTTTTGGCTGCTACCCATCGCCTAGCATTTAGCTGCCGCCCCGATTCAACATTGAATCCTTTGTGATTTAACTCCATCTGACGGATCAAACCCTCGCCACTGCGGCGTTGCGTCTGAGGTTGATTTTCAGATCAATGCATTACGTCGTGGCATACGGGAGAAACTAATTAAATTAGTTAAAAAAAAGGATCATGGGTTAAGATCGGATGTGTTTTATTTGGAAATCTACCGGATCCTTTGTGCAATTAACTTCCTGTTTGGTGCGATCTCATTGATGGGTTTTGACCAGATTTTGACCAAAGAGGAACTAAAAAAAAACAAAAAACAATTTTAATATACAACCAGCATATCTGGAATCAGTGACAGAGAGCGACTGGGACCAGAAGTTTATTAATTTCTCCCCACTGATTTCCATTCAAAATTTTTCGATCCCACCAGGCTCTAGGGAAGGGGCGTGCATACCGCCACCTACTGTTCATGAGTGTGTAGCAACATTGTTTTAAATCTATTAAATTCTATTTTTTAATTTTGTATTCTGAAGATAAATAAATAATGCTTTCCTTAATCTATAAATATCTTTTATATTTCCTTTATTTCCCAATAATCCTTTAAGACTCCATTCTTGGCCTGTCCTCTTTTCAATTTCTTCCTTTCAGGTTCAGATGTTTTAAAGTTCATCGATACGTGTTCTACATTTTCTATCTCTCCACATCCTTCACATTTATCATTATTTTTCCTCCCTATTAAGTATAAATTGTCATTTAAATAAGTATGACCTACTCTTAATCTGATCATTATTATTTCTTCCCTTTGGTTTCTCTCATTAATATTTCTATTTAATACTGACTTTTGTACTTTATATAACCTTCTTCCTTTTTATCTTCATTCCACCTTTTTTTTTTGCCATTTTTCAATTTCTTTCCTCTTAATAAATGATTTTCCTTTCCCTAAAGGAATTGTAATTGTTATTGCCTCCTCTAATTG